GGTTTTTTAGATTAATTTTTTAATCTACTATAATTATTACACCACCAAACCATTGCACTTCAAGTCACGCAATGAGGGACTGGTGCTCCTAGGGGTGGTGTGCAAAAGGTAGCCCTGAATGGAGTGGCGTGGAGTGGAATTTGTATCATAATGTCCTGTCAAGGATGAACCTAGGCACTTCGCGGTAATCCATTGGAATTGAGAAACGTGGCAACATTCAAAAACTCTAGCAGCCGGAGGGGAGCCATGATTTTCATGTATTGATTCTTTGTTATCCTGGGTTGACGACTGGATGAAGGATTGGACACACTTCGATTCCTGATGAGCTAGAGACAGGCATTGCTCTAGCCCGCGTTGAACTGGAATCCTCCTCCCACTTCAAGACCCAACTGTACAATCTTCGTTCTTTTCTTTCAAGAAATTCTCATGTTCTTGAGCGAAGGTTTGTTCGGAACTTCGTTGTGTCCAATTGGAGGGTTTCTTCAATTCTGACGTATTTCAGAGCCTTGTGATGTTGGTTACATATCCTATATTATCGGAAGCATGCCGGTAAATCCCCACCAGGCAGTCCAGACTTCACGAAAAATGGGGGAGGAAATTCAGTGGAAGACGCGTAGTTCTCATCACGCAATGCCGCATGCGGTACCAAAGAGATGACGAGCGTTGTTTGACCGTCCAGGCACCACAGCAAGCGCCGGGATATCGTCAGATCAATGCGTAAGTCTTCCTGAAGTATTCGTGAAAGTGTTACTGTAGGCATTTGATTCGCACAATCTAACCTGATTTCCAAGTGTTTCCTGAATCTGCGGAAAATTTTCAAAGCATTGAATTCATTTTTCTCTTGTAGGCATCTGACAATCATGAGGCAGAAACACGGTTTTGATCGTCTCTCAGATGATCAAGTGATACTTCTGCGTCCGGTACCGCAGATCACGGACGTGCAGATGAAGCCATCAGTTACATACTCACATTCCGAAGCTCGATAATTGGGAGAAGCTGTGCATTCACTCGAAGAGCAATTCAATCATATGGAATCGACGGGGAATCTCCGTCTTATTTGTTGTGCACTGCTTTTCATCCCGAGTAATGCATACCGGGGGATCTTGTGTCCTGCATGGGGAAGCTGAAAATGGCGGGTTTAGTTGAGGGGAACATCCATAAACTGTGGTGTCCTTTGCTGACTCGTTTCTGCCTTCGGTTGGTCGTTGTCGAATGATGGATCGCTCAATCGTGATTTAAGGAGGTGACCATCTGAATTATGGGAGTGACTTGCCTGTGCAAGGTGAGTGACACTTTCTGGGCTTATATTTGCGGAAGTGTACGCAAATTTTCTTTGTGATCATTCAATTACTACAGTACTGTATATACAGTATTTGTTTCATATTTCAAAAGACACGCTGTGCTTGTGAAGATGTAGATGTGTGACGCAAAACTGCAGGATTCATTTCTTTTGTTGAAAAACTAATAGCAACTGATAGCCTTCGAAGCTTTTGTGAACGTCATATCCTTTGAAATGAGAGTGACCAGATTTGTTAGAGGTTCAGTTCTTTTGAACGGATTATGTAACTGTTGGCAAGTTTCTGTATTTTTTCAGTTTGAGGGTGTTACGTGTTGTTGGATGCCTTCTATCAACTGCCCTAGCATTCGCAAAAACTTCGAGATATGAGTTGGAAGACTTATTCCTCAATGAAGTGTTTTTGTCGAGGTGTTAAGAGTATATCTTAGGGAGAGTTGTTGAGCATGTTTCTCAATGCTTGAAAGTTGAAAGTTCATAGAAGATTGTGCCTGAGCATTAGTTGATTTCAGTTGGTGTTTTTTCTGTTCAGGCACTTAACAAGAATAACAATTGGAACCCCGGTTATTCACCGTTCTGAATGGTTTCATGTTTTCTTCTCAAATTCAAGATCTTGCATGCATTTTGGAACGAAGCTGTTGCATCAAAGTTGAGCTCGAATGATGTGGAGAGAATCATTGTGTTGGATTCACTATGGAGTCGCCGTGTGATTCCATAGATGCGAACGTTATCTTCAGAGGTTTTGACAGACTCGCAAGACATTTTTTCCTTCACGAAACTGCGGTTGAGCTCGAAAATGAGTTTCCATGTCTCACAACGGGCCTCAGCTGAAATCCCGTTGAAGTTTTCGGTGTCAAGCTGGAAAAGTAGCGACAGTTGTTTACCGTTTATTCGGTGATTTGAGTGGAAAACACCGAGGTTTGAATGGTTTATCCAATCGGAGGACTGCATTCATTCAACGGCTCAAGTTCATCGCTGTATATGAGCACATCGTTGCTTGAAAGATGTGTCGTTGTCTATCAACCGAATGGAAAGATGTGGTTACGTGCGCGGATTGTGCTTGCGTATGATCTTCTCGAAGTGTAGCAAAGATTCGTTATAGCATCCTTCCATCATCCGGGAGTCTTCAAACAAGGGCTTGTGGTTATCTTCACTGTCGGGACATGCTGTGCGAATCTTGAACCGGAAGAAAAACCTTATATGCATCGTTGCTGTGCAGAAAACGTCTCACTTCTCTTTCGCCGACTTCATGAAAGACCTTTTTGCAATCTTGAAAGGTAGTGACGGCCATTCCTTCAGTGGCTGAAACAGCCTTTGTTGATGACATCAAATGCCGAGTCGGAGCTTATTCCTGTCAGTGTCTATCCACGTACATCTTCGAAACCGCGTTGTGATGCCGCATATTTTGCCCTTGGTTTTAAACGAACCGCTATCCGAAGTCTGAATTCTACTGGGTGTCTGTTGAGTCGAATGAGTGGGAGATCGGTGGTTAGGTGGCAACATTTCGGCCAGCTTCCCTTAGGAAACTTCATCTTCCAGAGAGTCAATTTTTCATCCTGGTCAGAACCATAAGAAAGCGATATTTTCCGTCCTTTACCTGGAAAATTTGTTGCAAAGCACATGAAGGGAATATAAATCTACCTGTATATCCTGAAAAAAGAGATGCGGTCTCCACGATAATCAAAGCAAAGCTTGCTTTGTTTTAAAGGATAACGGAGGTAAACAAATAAATTCTGATTGGTGTACAGTATTAGAATCTAATTAATAGCAGGAGATTTTGTATCATGTTCGCTGCCTCATTTTTTCATCCCATGGACTGCCAAGAGAATCCACGCATGATTTTCTGTCCCGTGCCAGAAACATATTCCATAATGAAATGAAGTTGGTGTGGAAGAGATGACATTGCCTTAGATTTCCCAACATGAACCTAAATGTTTTCAAAACTCTTGCTTGAATATGTCTGTCTTGGATTGCTTCCCCATGAAGGAATTTTTTAGTTGTATGGAATTTACCAAATGCTGTGAATGATATTGATGGGGGTATGACCACTGAACAGGAAGCACTTCTGGTCCACTTTTTTGTTTACATGATGATTTTGCAATTCAGTATCTTGAACTGCATTATCTTGAAAAAATTGTTGCTACCTGGAATACCTTTCTATGAAAGTCCATTGCGAAAAAGTTTGTCAACACGAATCCTATTTGGTTGCTGTGCGCATTCCATGACCTTGTTTGGACCAACTCATTAAATACAGATGCCCTGCATCTACAACTTAACTTCTCTTCTAGACTTTGTTGTGAAACCTTGTTTTTGCCAAGTTGCTCCAAGCGTGTACAAATCTAATGTTGGTTGGAAAAAGTTGAGTCTTGATCTTAATATTCATTTGGAAAAATTTTTGTGTACTGCACTTCTCTGGAGGAATGCGGAAAAATATTCACATTTTTTTTAGAACCCTGAGTTACTCAAGTTGTATCAGCATTGAACCATTGACTGAACAAACCCTAACCAAAAGTGAATCCGCTGGTTAGCAATTGAAGTATCACTTTCCTTGTTCTGTTCATTTGAGATTACAATGGACAAGAAAATGCGTTTACTCCTTCATGTGAATGGAATTATTGATCACCTTCCTGTAGTACGAATTAAAATTTGAGACCTACTTATTTTAAATCTGGGAAAGGGAACATCTTTCAGCTGATGATATAGATGTTATTGCAAGAAGACTAAGAAGAGGAAAATTATTAATTCACCACGTAAGGAGAATGGAAAACGTTTTCTCTGGGCAGTGTTTTGAGTGGTTCTTGGTCTCGTAAGGAGCCAAGAAGGGAAGGAAGATCCGAAATTTTCAGTCTCAGCAATGCTGAGTATTAACCAGTTAGAATGGGTGTGAAGAAGTACGTTTAAATCATTTTTAGAAGAAAGTTCTGGTAGGGCATGGTAATTCAAAATGATCGGGGATATTTTGTTTAGAAATCGCCATTGCTGTATTTCTGCGCTGAGCATTGCTGTACAGGTATTTCATAAAATTACATTATTGTGTACACTAAAGACAAATAATACTGTATTCTGTAGCATTTATGACAGGATCTCTCCACTATTCAAAATTTACACTCCACTCAACATCTGCCACATTGATTGGTGGTTGGTAACTCAGGTTTTTTTGGGCATCGGATAAAGATGGAGATTTCTCAAAAAAACCACAGGCAAGCTTTTTCCAGTGTGACCTATTATGAAATTAATATTAGCATTTTTTGGATTTTAGAATATCCATGCTTTGGCATTTTTGTATTCCATATTTCTGGAGAACTTTTATCTTCACTAACTCCAGCAATTTTTTGTGAGGAGATTTTCTTTATTCCTGTTGCTGGGATTGGTAAATTCACAACTCCTCAAAGTACAAAATAGTAAGGCAGCTTTATTTTGCATTCAGCAGCAGAAATGTATTCAGACAGTGTCCAGAGAACAATGAGCGCGCGAGACAGTAAATACAGGTGACTATATAGACTTGGTTAGCCAGTATGTTGCAATGGTGGTCAGACCTGGATCTGACCTAGATTGGCAAGGGTTGCATAACCCTTGGTGTGTGACTTGGTGGCGCATCACTCAGCAAGGGGCATGAGACAGGGAATTGCAATGCAGATGGTTGAAGCATCATCTGCTAGGTTAAAGAGAACAACCAAAGTATTCATGACAAGGATTACAAAACATCCAACATCTTTGCTGGAGATTCTTGGAAGCCTGCAAAAGTGGTCAAAACCTTCCCCTCAACTGATGGGGCCATTAGATGAGTTGCTGTGATCACCAAGGATGGAAAGGAGGACATTTTATGAGTGGATAAGCTCTACCTGGCTGAGAATGATGTAATCCCAAAAAAAAACTGGACTTCAGGACAAAGGGACAATGCCATGCAGCTTCCTTAACCAATGTGCAGGAACCCTGCACAGGGGGGAATGTTGAAGCTGCACCTTGAAATATCCTCTGAGACTGTAGAATTTGTATTTGAAATTGATTGATAGGCAGGCAATTGTTTTCCTGGACATAAAACCCAATTTTTGAAGTTAAAAATCAAAATTTTTTTTGGGGGCAAATTCTGATGTTACTGTACGTGGCCTGTTCCGGGACACCTGTTCCGCCATGGGGCCCATTCAGGGACACCTGTTCCATAATGAAGCCCTTCCTGGGACACCTGTTACAGAACAGGGGGTCATGGTACCTTCAGTGGCAGAACAGCTGTCACAGACCAAGAGAAAAAAATTCAAATTTTTGTGAACAAAGTTTCCTTCAAATATTAGGTTTTTGACTGCCTTAATTTCCCAACTCCAAATTACTGTGTATTGGTCATTTGCTAGTATTTGAAGGGTCCTTTGGCACAACGTCAGTGCCAACCCTCTGTTGGGGTATTTTATTTGGAATGTTGTGTTTGAGAGGGACATTATACCTGAATTGTTCTATGAGGGAAAATCTCCACCACTGTTCTATTTTGTTTAATTTGTGGTGAATTTGGAATTTCCCACTCCAATGCATTTATGTTTTGTTGGTTAGTAACATCCAGGCCAAGTTGGCAAGGCTGGCACATTTAGGCCAACCTTTAAGTTGACTTCCACCCGTGTGGGATTCTGAGAAGAAAGAGGTTCCCAGGCAGCAGCTGCCACTTGAACTTTCTTACCCTTGTTTTGGAAGCTGTTTTCCCCCTTTCCATTTTGAAAGCTGTCAAGGGAATTTATGATTGTTATAGAAAACTTCCACCCCCTCTCTTCTTGACTCAGGATTTCCTCCTGGTTTAGAACCAGTCATATCTGAGCTCTGTTTGGGAAGGGTGGTTCTGAGTTGTTCCCCAATTGTGGGGAATGTATTCTGATGTATATTTTGTACTGTCCTGTTTGCAATTTGATTATGTATTTCTAATTTGTATTACAGGCAAAATGTTTGCAAACGCGCTTGAAATAAGCTCTTAAGCATGCTCTTTGTTGGAAACTGTAAATTCATGTGCTGTGAATAAACTTGTGAATAGCAAATTCTCTGGAGTTTGCTTTATTTGCCACATCAGTCAGTTCCTCAAAAAGTGAGCAGCAATTTTGTGTGGGTCTTGCCCATACCTTCTTATAACTGATGTCCCTGGTCCTCTGGTCTGAACAAACTTGACCTGACCATCACTTCCACAACCATCATCCATTCAACTCTGGTGCATACTCAGTGATGTAGCTGAGGGCACCCAACCATTAAATTTGGAGTTATTTGATCATTAGCTTACAATTGTCTGTAGCCTCTCATTCTAGGCACAACAGTCATGAGACAATTTCAGTTTCAAAGTAATATAGTAAAATCTTTGCTGGCATTTTGAATCCAAATACAAAGACTTGAGCAAGATACAATAACTTACTCTGAGAAATTGACAAACTTGCTGAAAAAGGGTCCTGTTGACTTTTTAAAATTCAAATGAGTCTAACATTTTGACAATTGTAGAGGAGTTAATTTATTTTCACACTTGTGGCCCACAGAGAAGGCTTCCTTTTTAATGTGGCCCTTGACCACTGTTGACTTGGGCACCACTGGTACTCTATATTCATACTTTATTATGGAAACTCACTTTTAAATGCTTCACAAGGATAAATTGGGAACTAACTGATAAAATGGGAAATAGTTGGCAAAAAAGCCAATGTTCTCAACTTCTTGGCCATCAAGCTACAGGTGGTACCTCACAATATGACCTCCCACAAGTCAACCATCCTGCAATTTGATGGTCAAATTTTCAGAGAAATTGATCTGCAATTTGACCCTTTCCTCAAAATTTGACCTGCTCTGGCTACTTATTTTTGTATGTTTTTATTTGATATTTTGGAATATCACAGTGTCTCACAATTCAACTGCTTTGCAATTTGACCCTGATTTTGCAAAAGATTAGGGTCAACATGGGAGGTACCACCTGTATGATAGTTTTTTATTTTATTTTCTTGGTGCACAGGAAAGGAGAAGAGGGTGATTATGGTTGCTGCCTGCTCCACTTTTTGTTGTTGCTTCAAATAAGCTCCGTTTCATCATGACCATTTCCATTTTGTATATGCTTTTAGTACCCAACCCCCTCTCAGCCTCTCCGCAACCCACCATTGGTTCATCCATCCGCCATTTATTGTTCATCGACCCACAATTGGTTCATCCATCCCCAAATGGTCATCTCATCCAGTATATTGGTTCTTCCACCCACTGGCAAATCTGGTCACACAGGAAACCAATAAGCAAGCAATACCAGTATATTTAGGTCACCTGGACACTGAATCCTTGTTTAAAATACGTATAAAAATACATATTGTGCTTGTTCAAGATTTAAAAAGCTTTCTTTTGATCTCAAATTGCTTTCCACGTTGACTATTGGGCTTTCTATTTCATGATCCACTAGTGCTTTGACATTGTTCTTCTGTTACTTCACCTGGATATTCAGCAGAGAATGAAATTGATAAAGAAACACAGTTTTTAGTCTTGTAGTTTTATTTTGAAGTACCTCAATTTCTTCACTGGGAATGACTGCTCCCCACTCTCCTACACAATGGAGAACAGTGAAGGTAATAGTGATGAGATGTGAAACACTGATGAAACTTTCCTTCAGGAATGTTTAGGAGGATTACACCAATGATATTTTCTGCAATATTCACCAGTTCAAGTGTTTCCTTGCTCAAGTGTTTTATTTTTATTTTAGTATGCTGGTGTTTGGTGAGAGACTGACTTTATGTCATGGTGAAAGAAAAATGAACAGAGAGCAGATTGTGGATACTCTCAGTCATTCTTGACCTATATAGGTAAACACTAATTCTGATATTCTGAATTGTTTTTCAGACAAGTGCTGTGCTAGTGTCAGGATCCTGACTTTGATCCCAGAAGAGTACTTGGAAAAAAAGGAATGCTGTGGTGCAATAAGTTGTCGTCACTTGTTTGTGTAGCGTCTGGATATGTATTGTGCTTCCTGGCAGGGTCCTTTTTATTCCCTCAATACCAAAGATCTGACAATTATGGGGAGCAGATGGGGAATTCATGTCCACTGGTTCCTGGGTCACAAAGTAGGCAAATGTGAAGTGTTTATATCAGTGTTCCTCAACCTTTTTTGGCCTGAGGACCAGTAAATTTCCAGGAATTTGTTTTATGGTCTGGCAAATTTCCCAAAAATGTTCTCCAGACTGGTAAAGTTTCAAGAATGTTTTGCACACTTGCAAAATTGTTGCTTGAATTTTATTAGGCAGGTAGATGCAAGAAGAATTCAATTAAGTGTGTCATCAAAAAATGAGAAATGTGGCTTTGAGAGGTTTCTCAGAAGGACAAATTAAAACAATTTATTTCAGCAGGTGGCAATGTGTCCAAGGTGTTATCAGGAGAAAATCCAACTTTTGTTTTCATCAGATAATACTACTGCCTTTCTCCTTCTGAAATTTCGGGTGAAAAGAACAGGCTTCATCCTGACTTTTGATAAATGTATTATGCTGAAAATTTCTCATGGACTAACAAAAACCTTCTGTGGACTGGTGTTGGTTCACAGACAACAGATTGGGGAACACTGCTCTATATCATGCATCCATTATTTTTGAAATACTTTCTAAGGTATTTTTTCATTTAGATCACTCCATACTGGATCCTGGAAATTCAGAGTATCAAATTAAATTGAAAAATGTTTCCTGGGAAGAAGTTATCAAACAGCATCATCAAGATGTGGAACTTGGAGGCAGTTTCACCCCCAAAATCTGCAATCCTTCACACAGACTGGCAGTGATTGTTCCTTACAGAGACAGAGAAGAACATCTCAGGATTTTTCTTTGGAATCTTCATCAGCTGCTCAAATTCCAGCTGCTTGCATACACCATATTTGTTGTCAATCAAACTGGTATTGGTGATAGAAATTAACCAACATCACCCAAGTGGGGAGCTCTTTTTGCTCTGACCCCAGAGTAGGTGCACACCAGAGTCAAAATTGGTGCATATGGGATGTTCTGGGATTACAAGTGTGTGCTCCTGTGGAGGAAATTTTGTTACCATTCCGGAGCCACACTTGGTGCACAAATGTGACAGAACAGGAGCATCACACAAATTCACTAACTGTAACCTTGGTGTAACTTATTTGTTTAAAAATGTTACCCTCAGTAATCCTGGTGTGAACACCCAATTGGTGCACATTAGGGATATGCATGTGCAACAGAATAATTTTGGTGCCCTTCAGGTGCACAGCAGGGTCACTGTGTAGAATTACAAACATATCCCCAGTGTGCACCAATTTCCCCACTTGGCATCATCCACCTTGGAATAATTGCAAGTATGCCAAGTTGGATGATGCCAAGATCCACTCCAATTAATTCTCAGATGACCTTCATTTCAATCGAGGGCAGTTACTGAACATTGGAACTTTGGAAGCAGAAAAGCATGGGGACTACCACTGCTTTGTTTACCATGACCTGGACATGATTCCTGAAAAGGGCAACACGCCCTACAAATGCTTTCCCTGGCCCCTGCACTTGGCCATAGGCGTGGAGAAATTGCAATACAAGTGATGTTTATTCCCACATCATTTTTCAGTCTAGAAAGAAGAGTTGATGCTTTTGTTCACAAGAGAAATCATTGAAATCACATTTTGCAGACCATACTATGGGGGTATGAGTGGAGTGGCAGTCGTGCCCAAGCAACTCATACACCAAGTCAATGGGCACAGCAACAACTTCTGGGGCTGGGGTGGAGAGGATGATGATTTTCTACTGAGGTGAGAAGGGATGGTATGAGGATTTATTCCCTGGCAATCAACAGTAGCATGATGGTTAATGCTTCCAACATATTCAACTAATGTGGCATGAAATCTGGCATTGAGTTAGATGCAATATGCAATATAACCTGTATATAAGGGGCCTTGCAAAAATCTTTGAAAAGTAATGGAAAGGGCAGAACATTAAGCTGAAAAACAATGATGGTCCTGAAAAAACAGTTCTTGGTATAAGAAAAAACTTCCAGCCCTGTTTGACACATATTGCAGAATTGTTTGTCAATGGGAATGTCACCATGACAGCAACAGCGCTTACTGCTCTGTATCAGTGTTCCCAAACTTCCATGGGGAATAATTGAATCTGTTCCAAGAACCCAGAAGACAATTGACCATTGAATCTTTAAAAATTCAAGACATTTGTGCCAAAAACATTTTTACATGGAAGTAGTGCTGATGAAAACAAAGATTAAGTAAGCTTCATCTTAGAAAAACAGGCACCAACACATTTGTATTGTGTGAGTATTGTGTGAAATTTATCTTTTTGATGCTTAAAGTAAAGATCAAAAAGATATTTCTAAGAATTAAACAACTAAAAAACCAAGCACTGAAGAGGTAATAATTATGTCACAGAGAAGCCTAAGACAATTGTAGCTGAAAAACTTTGAAAATACTAGATCACACAGATTAATGTGCCAGAGGGGGAACATATTTCATATCATTGCAGAAGTGGAATATTTGCATTTGGACTTTACCATAAACTTCATCCTCAAAATCTATTTTGAATTCCCAAATTTGGAATTTTTCCCCAGAAGACAGTTAAAGAATAAAAAATTTTGTTTTTTTAACCAATGGATTTGTCCTGGAAACCAAAATTTTGTTAACACAGCAGTACCTTAACCAAGAGTACATTATATATGTTCAATTCACTTGTTAACTACGCTTTTGGGTTACTATAAGTCAGGAGAAAAGTTCAAATTTTAATATATTTATCAATTACAGGTTCAATAAACAAGGATTCAATGTGATGCATTACCCAGCTGAAATTGGCAGATACAGATCCTTGCCACATGTTCCAGCAAGTCCATCTCCGAATAGGTCAAGGGAATTTTCACCTAAAAATTAATCTCACTTATTGAAGAATGTTTTGTTTTTTCAGGTACAAAATCCTGGAAAAAGAGGGCGGTAAAAGAGATAGTGGGCTTTCAAATGTGAATTACGTTTTGGTTCAAACCAGTTTGCATCCACTCTACACCATTTTTGACGTGAACCTGACATTGTCTGTAAAGTGAACCTTCCATATGAAATGAAACAAAACCATTCCTTTGTTTTAGAAAGAGGAATGCAGTTTTGAATGGTTGTTTGTTTCCAGATAATCTGTTGAACGTTACTGATAAAATACTGCTTAACGCCAGTGTACATTCATTTGCTTTCTTTCTTTGTCATACAATTGACATGTTTTTGCAACCATTATATATCCTTCAGCAGCTACAAAGAGGAGGTCTGTTTATATTCACAACTTTAACAAAGCCAAACAAATACAGATGGACTCTCACTATCACAAACTTGTCAACAACAAATTTCTGCCCTCAACAAATTTTTTTTTGGCCTTGCAGCATGTAATAAACCATTGTTTCCCAGCTTTTTTGGGTCCACAGACAGGCACATTTCCATCATTTTTTCTCAGCCTCTCCGCAACCCACCATTGGTTCATCCATCTGCCATTTATTGTTCATCAACCCACGATTGGTTCATCCATCCCCAAATGGTCATCTCATCCAGTATATTGGTTCTTCCACCCACTGGCAAATCTGGTCACACAGGAAACCAATAAGCAAGCAATACCAGTATGTTTAGGTCACCTGGACACTGAATCCTTGTTCAAAATACGTATAAAAATACATATTGTACTTGTTCAAGATTTAAAAAGCTTTCTTTTGATCTCAAATTGCTTTCCACATTGACTATTGGGCTTTCTTTTTCATGATCCACTAGTGCTTTGACACTGTTCTTCTGGTACTTCACCTGGATATTCAGCAGAGAATGAAATTGATAAAGAAACACAGTTTTCAGTCTTGTTGTTTTCTTGAAGTACCTCAATTTCTTCACTGGGAATGACTGCTCCCCACTCTCCTACAGAATGGAGAACAGTGAAGGTAATAGTGATGAGATGTGAAACACTGATGAAACTTTCCTTCAGGAATGTTTAGGAGGATTACACCAATGATATTTTCTGCAATATTCACCAGTTCAAGTGTTTCCTTGCTCAAGTGTTTTATTTTTATTTTAGTATGCTGGTGTTTGGTGAGAGACTGACTTTATGTCATGGTGAAAGAAAAATGAACAGAGAGCAGATTGTGGATACTCTCAGTCATTCTTGACCTATATAGGTAAACACTAATTCTGATATTCTGAATTGTTTTTCAGACAAGTGCTGTGCTAGTGTCAGGATCCTGACTTTGATCCCAGAAGAGTACTTGGAAAAAAAGGAATGCTGTGGTGCAATAAGTTGTCGTCACTTGTTTGTGTAGCGTCTGGATATGTATTGTGCTTCCTGGCAGGGTCCTTTTTATTCCCTCAATACCAAAGATCTGACAATTATGGGGAGCAGATGGGGAATTCATGTCCACTGGTTCCTGGGTCACAAAGTAGGCAAATGTGAAGTGTTTATATCAGTGTTCCTCAACCTTTTTTGGCCTGAGGACCAGTAAATTTCCAGGAATTTGTTTTATGGTCTGGCAAATTTCCCAAAAATGTTCTC